TGCTTAAAATTACCTATTCCTCCTTGTGAATCCAAAAAATTTACATTTGTAAATTCTACAGAAATGTTCCATAGCATTTGTTACCCATATTTTTTGTTCTACATTGCAATGTATTTTTTAATAATTTTTGGAATTAGTTATATCTTTTAAGTTACAAAGACCTTCAAAATAAAACCTGCGGTCAGAGAGAAAAAATAAAAACGCCACTTTAAATAAAAAAGTGAGTTTCAAACCCAATTATTTAATATTTATTTCATGGTAGGAGAGCTTCTCAAACAATATAGAAGCAGTTTTTTCGACTCAAGTTGTTGAAAAGTAATGAATATCTAAATCCCGGGACTAATCCCGGGATCCCGGGATTGTGACGCCATCCCGAAAATCCCGGGATCGTAAAAAGCCGAAAAATTAACATCCCTAATTGGGACCCCTCCTGTCATTTTTGGACGCTTTTTTTCAAGTAGTACCTTAAACTAGAGAATTACCGAGTTACTTTTTATATACACACCAGCTGTGCATTAGGTAAACTTTACACGAAAAATTATCAAAGGTGCAATAACGCCATAATTGCTTTATTTCACTTTCGCTGTGGGAAATTTGAAAAATGTGAATTAAAATAAAGCCATATAGCCATAAGGCTTCATTGCACAACGCCATTTTTTCCTTCTAAGGGAAACTTAATGAGAAGGCTGGCAACCTCTGGCTATTCTATATATACAAAATGGAAAGGAGTAAAGAATCGAACACGAAAACCTACCGCTTCAAAAGATCCGAAATAGCATCTCCCAGAAAGCCTCGTGATGTTCAATTTTGCCGACTGGGAGAGTACACACATATATGTACCTAAGATACATATATACAAATTAAAACTTGCTTTTGCGCTTTTAAAATTTATGCATGTACATATGCACGTATGTACATATGTATTAGAGGTTTACGCCGACAGGCTTTGCGGCGGCGGCGTGGTCAACGTCAAAAATATTCGGCGGCGGCGGCGACGCCGGCGCGTCTGGAAACGCCGGCGCTACTTCTCATAAGGTAGATTTCAAAGAGCCATGAGGCTACTAATCTTATCATTTCAACTCGTCAGTGTTAGGCATTCGCCATGCCAATTATTCTACTATTATAATTCTATTTATTTCATTATTGAATTAGTTTTAAATTTAAATATTGTTACTTCCTACTTGAATTAAAATGTTGAGTGTCTGGCGCTGATTGATGGGCGAACAGAAGAAGGTCTGAGGTATATACATACATACACACACGGATCTCTATATTCTCTACAGATCCGTATGTNCGGCAACTACTCCTTGGCGTACCATTCAAGAAATTCAAAGCAAATTAAAATTTTGTACATATTTTTTCTACCAAAATACAAATGCACTTGAAAACCGGAAATGGATATTCAAAACCGGAAATTTATCTAACATAAACGAGCAAAATCTGTAGATAAATAAATAAAATAATATTCAAGGTTATAGTTAAATAGTGTAGACGAATTATGGATATTGCTGAGTCCATTGGAAAATAATTTATTAGTGAACAAACAAACATATGTACATACATATGCATACATACATATGTATGAATGTTTTCACTCACACTCACCTACGCTTGCTGGACATTTTTCCGTAGGCAATTATCCAAAGAGCAGCCGAAACGCCCGCCACTCCCACTATGGCGCTCTGGTTTTGCGCAATTTTACTTAACGCTGGTGCCATATTTCTAATTCCGCCAATAGATCGACAAGGAAAAAACAGCACTTGTTTTCTTTTAGCGAAAGTAATGAAGTTGAAATCACTGACACACACCTTCACCTAATGCCTCAATCGCCTAAACACGTCCAGAAAATTTACTTCGTTTAAGTGTTTTTTCGTTTTTATGGGTCTTACTAGACAAATGAAAAAAGAACCTTGTTAATTTTTTTCACTTATCTCCAATTTCCGCCTTATTTCTTTTCGCAGCAAGCAAGTAAATTTCGCACTATTTTATATGCAGAGTATGACAATGCATAACTTCATTTACGTCAAACCACTGATATAATTCAATAATTTACCGCACTTATTATTATATGTATTTGGTTTTTATAAGAATTTTGATGGGAGAGCTGCTATTCAATAAGTTAAAAAGATTTTTTAAGCAGTTTAATTTTATTATCTCGCACAACGTCAATTCCACTTCAACAACACATCCCGCTTGCTCCAACTGCAATGACAAAAGATGGACGTTCGCCTTTATCCGTCAACGCCATTCTTTTTGTCATCCATTTCCTCATAGTGCTGCCGGATGCATTTATTTAAATTGCTAACGAATTGTGCGATATCGATTAAACGATAGCCGTCATCGATTCGCCAACAGTTACCAAAGAACGCAAATCCATAAGTCTAGGTTCAGATAGAGAATCTTTTGTTGCGGCAACTCGTTACTAGTGAGAAAGGGAGTGGCGAGCAAGAGGGAAGGGCACCGATTTGATCATGCTCGGGCACAACGCTTTGTGCTCTCGTTCGTCTGAGTAACTCTAGTTGGCCGTTCACAGCTGACAACAACAGTTGTGTACAAAAGAATTTCTCTGTGTGAACGCGGAGGGCAACAGCAAAAGAGAAGTTGCCGAAAATGGGCAACAAAAGGTTCTCTGTATAAGAAGAAACAACTGGCTGAAGTGTGGCGAGTGAGTCTAGAAGGCAAGGCGAATTTATACAAGGTGGTGTTACTGGCGAATTTAGATTTTCGTCGCGGTACTTCTTAATGTCGAAATGATGTGTTTGTTGTAATATGAATTCGACTTGTTTTCAACAAACACATCATTTTGACATAGAGAAGTACCGCGGCGAAAATCTAGATTCGCCATCAACACCATCTTGTATAAATTCGCCTTGCATTAGGAAGTTCCGCGGCGAAAATATAAATTCGCCAGTAACACCACTTTGTATAAATTCGCCTCGCTAGAAGGTTTACAACGAGGCCAATTTATACAAGGTGGTGTACTGGCGATTTTAGATGTTTGTTGTAAACAAGGCGAATTCATATTACAACAAACACATCATTTGGCATAGAGAAGGACCGCGGCGGAAACCTAAATTCGCCAGTAACACAATGTCAAATCTCAATTCGCCCCAAAGTTTATATGTAGTTTGTTTTTGCTATTCATGGGTATGCTGTCAAATCAGTAAAAGCAAAAACAAAATACATGTACAAAACACATTGAAACGACGAGCTACGGGCGAGGGCTTCCAATTTGCTATCTTCATTATCTAAACACTTTGTCGATGACGACATGGTTTGTTCGAACGCGCCAGCGACATCAAGAATTTGTATGAGTTTGACATAAAAGAAGAGGAAGAACCTTATCTGTCGCTAAAAAATGGAAATAGATCTAATCTGGAGTGAACACAGTCGTCGCGTAGCCCGGTGGTCATGAACCAATTAGAAGTGTAATTGGATCATGCCCGGTGGTCGCCAACATAATTATCTACATAAGGCTATCTGCACACTTGTCGTCCAATCATAGTTGCGTTATCGTCTCGCCCTGAAATTTAGAGCCGAGCACAAGCATTTCAAAGATCTGCACACTTGTCGTTATCGGCAAATCGTAGGTGATGCAGAAACGGATAATTACGGCACTGTCGTTTGCAAATCGTTGTACGCATTGTTTGTTTACATTTTATGGGGAAAATTAGTGAAAAAGTTAATATTTGCATTAAAGTTGCATAAAAATAAGTATTTTTTGCATAAAAGCTGTGGATTATTAAAAAGTGGATAATTCCATTAAAGTTCAATAAACGTGAGCGTGTTAACTATAAAATATGACGAAATTGTAAAAAGTCTCTGTGTGGATGCACAAAACACATTTCAGGAAAAGAAATGAAGAGATATTACTGAAAAATTATGTCTAGAATTGTTGCAGCACAGTCTACATTTTAAAAATTGCAGTTTTTTGTAAATATTTCGCGAAAATATCAACCCGAAAAAACAGAAAATACCTGCTCCAAGTGAATTTTTAGACGCCAAATGAATTGAAATATCACGACCAAGTGTGCGAAAGTTTAGTAGTCATTTAATCGTTGCATCATGATTGTGACGATAAAGCAACTATGATTGGACGACCAATGTGCAGAAAGCCTAACGCTAGGCGCACATTGCATCCGATAGGCCGACCGATTTCGGCCGAACAATTTGACCGTCCGAATTGATGCGCACACTTAACCAGATTATTTGCCGACCGCGTTTGTACACACAAATCTAGTTTTCATTACAATTTTGTAAGCAGTGAAATATTTTGATACATTTTAATTGACATACTCTAAACATGTGATTTTATATAATTAATTTTTTGTTTTTGCACCCAATAAGTTATTTTTTCGTTGTCCATTTTGGTACTTTTCACCTGACATCGGACGAGAAAAACAAACATGTTTGGTTCGGTTATCGGTTTATGTGTGAGATCGCTCATATAGTCACAAGTGTTTATTCAAATCGCCCTCATATAGCCGATATCGGCCGAGCACAATTCGGTCGATGCCGGCTGCAGTGTGCGCGTAGCGTAAGAGTACGTGTTAAAATAATTTGACAGCTGTGGTTCCGTAGCTCTTCGTTTTTATTGTGTTCGGGCTATAAGGCGAGAGAAAGAAGAAGAAATCAGCAGATTGGACAACACCACCTTGTATAAATTCGCCTTGGGAATTCGCGTCCGTTTTGACATCCAGTTTCGTAGATGAATTCGCCGCAAGTGTGATTTCGCGGCGACAAAGAATGTTGTTGTAACTCAAGAACGATAGAATTACGTTCTTTCGCGGCACATTTTCGAAGTAACGTGAATGTAGATTTACGTTCTTTGATAAAGTACATATTATAATTCTACATGTGCTATAAAAGATTGCATGCGGGATGGAATCCTTCGTATATACCGGGAAATATATTTCCATGACCCGTAGCAACTCTGTCATTGTAAGCTATTCAGCACGACCCGATTGTGAATCGTTCCCATCAGTCGCCATATTGATTTTAGACGAAAAATCTCAACCAGCCACATTGGATCGTGTCATTTGGACGTTGCTCTTAAAATAATAATTTTTCTCAGCGATTTCAAAGACCTAAAGGTATGGAAAATTCAAAAGAAAATGTGCTTCATTATTTATATTTTGTATACGTCTAACAAAGAATTGGGTAAGGAATGGAATTGATGGATAATTCTGCAGAGTTGTCTAGGCGTAGACGATTACTCGTGAAGTTGTAATTTGGGGGTTTAGTAAAATTACATAACATTATATTTGACTTAAATAAGTTTTGATTGTGGACAACTCGCTTGCATAGTTTTGTTAAATGGTATGGTATAAGAACATAAACCAAATATTTTAGTATATATTTGAAGAGTTAATGAAAGAAAATGCACAGTTGGGAAAACACGAAGTATTCATGCCTTCAAGTTCATTTTTTACGCAGGAATTTTAAAAATCGTTTCCCCGATTAGGACAAAGACATAACAGCAAAGCCGTCTAAACGGTCAATACATTGGAGAAATACCAGCGAAGCTGAAATATCTGCACATCATAACCGGATAAACTTCGGGACCAAGCATTGCCTACCAAGGAATAATACAGTAAGAACGAACATGTAAATGTCCTTTTTTGCATTGACATCCTTAAATTTCATATTTTTTATCGCTAAAAATAAATATTTTCTTGGTTCCAAATTTTTTTAAAATTTTAATTAAGGCAAAAGCAAAGGCAAGCACTTGGCTTAACTTTAATTTTGAACAAGAAAATATACTAAAAAAAAAATAAATAGCGAATAGAAATTGCTATGAGTATAAAAGCAGCTGAAGGCGCAATAGTTCTGCAATTTATTAAAAAGGCTACAGTTTGATTTACAGATACTAACATCACAACAGCGGTCGGAAAAATTAACAGACAATCTACCATGTCTTCTATGAATCAGCGACTAAAACGTGATATGGGATTTGATAATGATTCGCGCAGAGAAGATCGTAGACGACGCAGTCGCTCCCGTAGTCGCTCGCGTCAACGTCGTTACCGCCGCAAGAGTAATGATAGTCGCTCACGTAGTCGCAGTCGTTCCGTGGAATATCGTAGACGTCACGTAGACAGACGTACACGCAGTCGCAGCAGAAGTTTAAATCGTCGGGATAGATACAACACCAGTCGACGACATAGAGATTCACGTAGCCGTACTCCTACACGTTCGCATCGCAGCAATAGGAGAGATTCTCGTTCACGCAGTTCAGACAGAAAAACACGTGATGGTGAACGTCGCCATAATTCTAATGAAAACAAAACTTCTACGTCCAATTCTGGGTCTAACAATGGCTCCACAACAACACAACCGCAGCTAGAAAATACAGATTTGCAGCACCTACCGCTGCCGAAACGTGAACCTATTGGTGCCTATTACAATCTTGATACAGATGAACCGATCGATAAAGAACGCATACATCGTGAAATGGAAGAGAAATTAAGGCAAGCACTTGCTAAAGAAGGCAAAGTATATCCACCCAAAAAGCCAGAGGCGTCACATCCAGTATTCGCGAACGATGGTTCATTTTTGGAAATTTTTAAGAAAATGCAAGCGCAACAGAATGCAACACCGGCAACAGTCCCTAGCGCCGTGGCACCAATACCGGCTGCACCTTTACTTGCATCTACCTCAAATGCTGCCGCCTATATTGCGGCTACATCGACCGGCAAATGTGCGCCGCCACCACCAATTGTTGGACGTCGGCGAGGTGGAAAAATTTTGAAAACTGGAGTTGTAGCGAAGCAAAAAGCTCAAGCTGAACAAAGTGAAGATCCGAAAGATTTCTGGTCACTGTATTTAGCGGAAGTAAACAAATATAAGAATCATGCTTGCGATTCCGACGGCGGCACTAGGCCCCTAGTTAAGTGAGCCTAAATTCGCGTTGAACTGAACTTGAATTGAAATTCGTGCATATGCATGTATGCATATATGTACATACTTCGAGTTTCCCCCCAGCGTGACAAGAATTCTGTGCNAAAATTAAGACAAGCACTTGCTAAAGAAGGCAAAGTATATCCACCCAAAAAGCCAGAGGCGTCACATCCCGTATTCGCGAACGATGGTTCATTTTTGGAAATTTTTAAGAAAATGCAAGCGCAACAGAATGCAACACCGGCAACAGTCCCTACCGCCGTGGCACCAATACCGGCTGCACCTTTACTTGCATCTACCTCAAATGCTGCCGCCTATATTGCGGCTACATCGACCGGGAAATGTGCGCCGCCACCACCAATTGTTGGACGTCGGCGTGGTGGAAAAATTTTGAAAACTGGAGTTGTAGCGAAGCAAAAAGCTCAAGCTGAACAAAGTGAAGATCCGAAAGATTTCTGGTCACTGTATTTAGCGGAAGTAAACAAATATAAGAATCATGCTTGCGATTCCGACGGCGGCACTAGGCCCCTAGTTAAGTGAGCCTAAATTCGCGTTGAACTGAACTTGAATTGAAATTCGTGCATATGCATGTATGCATATATGTACATACTTCGAGTTTCCCCCCAGCGTGACAAGAATTCTGTGCATATACATTACTTACGTTAAGAACTTTGATTCCAACTGAATTATGAATCAATTCCATTTCTACAACAATCCTGTGAATAATTTTCTGATTGCATTATACATTTAGTGGCAATTCTAGTTGTAAGTTTTCATTTATCAGTAGGTTAAGTGGTAAGAATAGAACCTTTAAAACAAGGAAACATTTAAATGATTGCCCCCTAATTTTGCTGGCTAAGTACACTTATTTACATTTTTCGAGAAAATGTTACAAAGCAGGAATACATTAAACTTTTTTTTTGTATTTTGTGTAATGTCAATATTAATTTATTTTGTGTTTACTCTTTACTAACTTGTATTTCATTTCGCTATACCATAGTCAGCTTCCAATTACATATCTCTTCCTTTTACTAACATTAACATTTTTCACCTTCAACTAACATTCATTATTCTCCTCATTTTCTTGTTTGCATAAATGTGATTATTACATAACATTGCTTGAAGAGCAGAAAGAAAATTACTGTCCATGTCTAAAAAAGAACAAAAAAAGAGCGAACTCGAATATAAGATGGAAACAGTTCCGATGGACCCGCGTTTTCCAAATATGAATGTAACACGACATTGCTGGTTTTCCTATGTGGAATACCATCGTTGTCAGAAGAGTCGCGGAGAAGGGGATGAATCATGCCAATATTTTCAAAAAGTTTTCAAAACAATGTGTCCCAATGCTTGGGTGGAAAAGTGGGATGAACAACGGGAAGCTGGTGTGTTTCCAGGCAGAATTTAAAATCGACCGCAATTAGTATATATTCTTAATTATTGTTGAATTGAATAAAAAAATATGCAATTTTCAAAACACTCCGATATACACGTACGCACACCCAACCACTTTTTCACCTATTTGCTATAAATTTCTTTAATAAAAATGATTTTTAGTGTAGAGAATTGGGAACGTTTTTTCGATCGGTACTCAACCAAGTTATTCATAGAGCGGCTAGAGTATCAAGCAAATTTATTTGTGAACTGAAGGCTTGTTGAAAAGGAAAACAGATTTGTGAGCTATATACAAGTTAAAAAGTGTATGGTTTGAATCTTATTTGGGGCATAGTTTTAAACTGAAAAAAATTTTGCAATTTTGTTCTCCTTTTAAATTTCCTTTTTACTATTTCTTTCTATAATTTCTGTCTAGTTTTTATTTATATATATATATTTTTTTTTTGTAAAAGATGTCTGCTGATGCAAAACTTTAATGAGATTAAGGTTAAACATACTCTTAAACATGCTTAATATATCGATTATAGACAATATTAATCATTCATCCATATAACTAATGAACGCATTTCTCTTGTATGTGTCGTTACATCCTGATTTCGTGTAATCATCACAATTGCTCGATCGCACACTCCTTCGCTTTGCCTTTTCCTACTTGTGCGATTTATTAATTGCAGTATTTTCTAATATAACAAAAAAATTTCCATGTCCAAAAAAGGCAAAGAAGATACTATGACGTATAAACTGGAAACAGCACCTTTCGATCCACGATTCCCCAACCAGAACGTGACACGCTACTGCTACCAATCTTACATTGACTACCATCGCTGCCAGAAGGTGCGTGGAGAAAAGTACGAACCATGCAACTACTTCAAGAAGGTATTCTCATCCATGTGTCCCAATGCTTGGGTGGAAAGGTGGAATGACCAGCGTGAAGCCGGTACCTTCCCTGGCAGAATTTAAACAGGTATTTGTGGAGATGGAACAACGCCAGAATAGCAATTTGAAGGAATATATTTGCTGCTTTCCGCTTACAAATTTATCAACTAAATGCCATAATACATACCTTCATCTATGAAATTATGTATTAAATATGAAAACAATGTTTTCAATATAAACGNCGAATATATTTGCTGCTTTCCGCTTACAAATTTATCAACTAAATGCCATAATACATACCTTTATCTATGAAATTATGTATTAAATATGAAAACAATGTTTTCAATATAAACGAAAATAATGGCTATTTGGAAATTAAATTACATAATATTGAAACTAAGTGTGTTATGATAAATAAATAGATAACTTCGTATTTGTGAATTTTTTATTTCTTATTAAGTTTATAATGGCTGCGCTTCTTTATACATTCCAGACAATCTCATTTCACAACCAGAATAAACAGAACGCGTTTGAAATATACGTTAACATATCATCAGGAACGTTCTAAAGAATAAGTAAACAAAAAAGTTTATTCCAAACGTTCAGTATGGAGAAAGAAATCCAGCCAATATGTTATAGACGAAGAAAATGCAGTCGAGTCTACGTAACCGGAACGACCCAAATTTATATCGTCGTCCTTATGCCAGAAGCATGAATGTGGAAATTTACCAATTTTGGGTTAGTGCGTCGACTTTACTAATAAACTTTAGATGTTCCATGTTATGCCAAAAAAATAGAATACCATGGGTGCACGGAAACCACATATTTTACAATGTCAATTACATGAATGAAGAGTTAAGTCTCATGAAAAAAACTTCAACTTGATTCCCAACATTTTCATTTTTACACCATTGTGTTTCTGGCATAGGGGGACGATACCTGACCGTGTTGTCACATCAGAATATTACTCAAAAAATACTTAGTGGGACTCTTTCTTGCTGCCCTAGAACCTGCTGAGAATTCGAAGCCGGTGAAATATGTAGGAAATCTCCTTGGGATGAACACAAAAGTTTATAACCATCCCCGTAGGATNGATAAAGAAATGCAGCCAATATGTTATAGACGAAGAAAATGCAGTCGAGTCTACGTAACCGGAACGACCCAAATTTATATCGTCGTCCTTATGCCAGAAGCATGAATGTGGAAATTTACCAATTTTGGGTTAGTGCGTCGACTTTACTAAACTTTAGATGTTCCATGTTATGCCAAAAAAATAGAATACCATGGGTGCACGGAAACCACATATTTTACAATGTCAATTACATGAATGAAGAGTTAAGTCTCATGAAAAAAACTTCAACTTGATTCCCAACATTTTCATTTTTACACCATTGTGTTTCTGGCATAGGGGGACGATACCTGACCGTGTTGTCACATCAGAATATTACTCAAAAAATACTTAGTGGGACTCTTTCTTCCTGCCCTAGAACCTGCTGAGAATTCGAAGCCGGTGAAATATGTAGGAAATCTCCTTGGGATGAACACAAAAGTTTATAACCATCCCCGTAGGATTTCATGCTATTACAAACGCCTCTGCATCTTTATAAATGTGTTTGTATGTACATATCGTCGTTTAAAGTAAAAACTGCGTAACTGACATTTGCTGCCAAAAATTGGATTTGCTTACATCCTTATCCATTCGTCCTGAAATATACTAGCCAGAAATGAGATTGCTTTATAAAAAAAAGAGAGCCATTTTGAAATATGAGTGTTTTTACTCCCTAGAAAATAATTTATGCAACCTCACATACGCGGTTTTGCATTATCTTGATAGGCGGTTTTGGATTTTGTTGATACGCGGTTTTGTACTTTAAACGACGATATATACTTTAGTTAACCTTTAATGCTATGCTATTGAAGTGACAGAAGGCCGTTTATAGCGGAATTTTAATTTCTTTTTCGGCTCATTGGTAAGTATGAGGATTTGTGAAGTATTTTATATCGTTTACAAAGAACTTAGTCGAAATAATTAGGGCAAATATCCAAAGACAAAGTTACAATCCATTACTTGAATGCGGATTTATATGTGATTTATTTTTAGGCCCAAAATAATCCATTATATGCATTGCCGGTTCATTTCTTTGCGAACTTTATAATAAATTTGCTAATAATGTAACTTTGACATTGTAGCCCAAAAAGCCTTTGTAGAAATTTGCAGATAAATCCGGTGAAATGAGAAAATTTTGCTAACTAAAATAATAATCGGCTCTATACCGAAAATCGTCGACGATCGTCAGCGCATCAGTAAAATGGCTGACGATGGCTGCTTCGTCGCTTTTACTGAATATATTCAGCATAGGCCGAAATAATTAGATTTAACGTTAGTCTTCTAAAAATTGTGTGCCGAAATGGTAAGTTACGTTAAAATCCTGCTGCATAATATTCTCATTATCTGGGTCAAATCAGTATACATAAAAACCACGCAGGTAAAAACTCCATGATTTCTTATTTCTGCAGTGAAACTTAGATTTCTTACTTTAAGTAAAATAGCATTTATAAAATAAATATATAGCACATCTTTGAATGTAGACAGTTTTTCGTTTAGATTAGGCAGCTTAAATCTTTACATTTTAATTTTACAATTTGTTTATTCATTACTATCTAAGTGTAGATTACAATCTACATAATTGCAATTATGAAACGATTATAATAACGGCATTTGTCTCTTTATACTAGGGCCTTCTATAATTTTTTGGTTTGTGTTAGCCCACCACCTGGTATTGGAAATTACAGGAGAATATGAATACTTTAATCACATGAACCGTCTAGCCAGCCATCTCTCCATCGTTCATTAACCTTAGAGCAGTCAAATTGTGGTTTGCCTAACTTGACATTGACCCGATTGTGGAACTTGCACAGCCATTGCGAAAATTCATATTGTGAGTTTACTTGCGCAGGATGATCTTTGAGACTGAATATATATATATATATATGTAATCACTGTCGTTGTAATAGCATTGAGCCTGTTCGCTCGGGCAATAGCTACAGGGCAATGTCGCATCTTATGGTGCAACCAAGAAAAACGTTAAAGAATTGGGAAATGCAACAAAAATTACCCAAAAATTGGCAGATGTCCCCACATTAAAAATATTGCAGGGACTCCCAGAGTTTGCAGGAAAATCTGTTTCGCCATTGATAAACCTTATGTGAAATGGCATACGGAAAGTTCCTGGAACAGGCTTAATAATGCCCCGGTGCAATTACTTCACTGCGGACAGGCTCATTTATCTAAGCAACTTACTCCTTGCGGAAATCCTTGGCGCAGTGCTCACATGGATAAACGCGCGACAACACTTCAAGAAATGTTTTGATATCTTTTTTTTGATGGTCAGTGGGATTATCTTGATAAAATGCCGCCATTGTGTGTAGTAGACCCCATGTTGCGCGACCTAACGCCACTTTATCCAATGGGCAACCATTTGGCGCAGCTTCACTCGCTTCTGTTTTGGTTTCCTTTGACGTATCCTAGAAAGTTTTAATAAATGTTAATAGGCCTGCAATTATGAAACCTTGCCTACGCGATTCTCATGCTGCCTTGTGGTTAATCCAATCTTTTGGAAAGTACAAGCACTTACCGCCTTATGAAATATTTGCCGTTGTTGTTTTGACCAGTACTTAAAATCTGTGCACGTGCGGCAATTGCTATCTGGTTTGGCCGGTGTTCCATACGGATCGTGTTTCGACATAATTATTTCCAAAACAACCTGCAGTCAAAATAAAATCAAATAAAATTTGAAAATTTCCCCTTTAATTGCAGTGAAAGACTTTATTGGCGCAACCGCTGTCAGCTGTGATGAAATGTCAGTACTAGGGATGGCAGCGATTAATCATTTGATTAAAGTAATCGAGTTTTTTTTAGTCCATTTACGTATTGTCGTACCTGATGCCAGATAAAGCAGCGTTTTTGCTGCATTTAAAATGCAACATTTAGCACTTTCGAACATATGTTTTCGAAGAGCGTTCATGCTACCGCATTTAGCAAATGTACATTTACGCGAGTTCGAAATCGTATGCTTTTGACAAACAGCCCCGTTCCAGTCGCTTATTCAGATCCGTATCTATTACGATAAATTCTCACGGAAAAGATAATGTGCAAAAACCCCTACTGAAAAGGAAAAAATTAATTCTAAACCGAAAATTCAATACAAAAACTTGAATTGTTTTAACCATAACCGAACATTTGTTTGTGTATATATTCATTTGTCGGCGCTGTCAATTATAATTTCCACACTTAATTAGGAAACAAAACAAACAGAGTTGATCACAAATTAATCCAGATTTCTATCAGCATCATATCGATGTTGAATTTGCGTAACTTTTCTTTATCCAAATAATGTAAAATAATAAATGAAATCTCGATCGGCGATCACTGAAACGCAGCTAGCGACTGTATACTCGAAAAAGCAATGTTGCCAGTTTTTCTCATTAAACCATGTTCGAATCGTGGAAATTTTGGAAGATCACAGGGTTGCTTTTAGCATTTAGATTCTTAATGCAAAAATGGAGTTGCATTTAGTTGCATTTAGGTGACGAATTTTGTATGGATAAATGTACATTTAGAGTAGCATTTAGAGCTAAATGCGCTAAATGTGCTTTTACGCATAACCAAAAACAGCCCATAAAACTTTGTGACTTTGCGTGACATTTGTAACTTTACTTAACGCCAAGAAAACTGCTTCTACTGCTAAGGCTGAATTTGTTTTTCAATTTTGAATTAAGTGACCTATGCTCTTCACTTAAATAAAATTAAATCAGGCCAAATCCATGGTGAAATGAACAGAGGGTGGCGCATTCCCGAAACCGCTACTTTGGTTTTGCCGACTTTGACAATTATGGCAATACGTAAACAAACTTTTTGTTTAGAAACAAGTGCAAACATATTGCAAACGTATTGTGTACTTTCGAGTGAAAAATCGAAGTACTTCGTGCGTTCTGAAGTAAAAAACGTTTTATTTGTAATAAAAACTTTAT